GAGAAAGTCTGCCCAGGAAGCATTAAGATGCACCCTTAAAGCTCAGCACAAGTAAATGATAATGCTTCTTCCCAGGGGTTGTAAAGAAACAGGGTTAGCCATACTGCAGGTATCTGAGACAGTTCAAGATACTGGCAGGGAACAGATGAGAGGCTTTCAAATCATCCTGCTCTCCATTTTTCTCAGTTTGATTCCAAGAGGAATTGATGTGTATTTAGGACAAGGGGCTAAAACTAAAGAAACTGGGAGCTACATCATTGCCATTCATTCATTTAGCAGATCCTCACTGAGCACCCACTAGGCTGGGTTACTGTGTGTAAAATGCCAGGGGGAGCTGGCAAGTGGGAACCCAGAGACCTGATGGGGAACAGTAGGATTCCATGCTCTCTGTCATCCATTATTTGGAAGAATTGCAAATATGTCCAAGGTCAGGGTCAATGTGAAGACTACGGTAGGGAGCATGGAGAGACAAATTGGCTCTCGGTTTTCTCACAGAACAGGGTGCCTTGGATGGGCAAGGGAGTTCCTTCCCCCTGGAGGAATAGACACATGAGGAGGTCGAGAGAAAACACCCCAGGTCTGATGGCAGGAGTCCTGGGCTCTACTGTTGGCATGGTTACAAAGGAAGCACGTGTGACTCTGGGGCAGTTAAAGCTGTCTTTGTGGTGGGGGTGGGCATCCTTATCTACAAAATAATGACCTTGGACAAGGTTATCTTCCAGGCCATTCCCACTTTACAAAGCAGGCAGTACAATACATTACACACAGGAGACCACACAGTGTCCTTGAGATCATAGAATCTCTCTGAGCTTCAGTTTTTACCTTCACAGTGAGCATGAGAACAAAAAATGCCACTCCTATAGCTGTTACACAGATGGAATAAGACATGAAGTCTGCTGTGTATCCCGCTTCCCATGTTGGATCATTCGCTCCCTTTTTGATTCTATCAGTTAGTATTAGCAGACACTAGTCTTGTTTGTGTGATCCCTTTGACTCTTAGACCTACCAGTGTGATCAATTGTGAACTGAAGTTGATCACTTGGACTAGTGAGATGGCATTGGTACATGCCACCTTGATGGGATTGTATTGGAATCCCCTGGCATGTTTCTAACTCCACCATTTGGGGCAAGTTCGATTGAGCATGTCCCAAATTGTACATCTCCCTCTCTTATTCCCACTCTTATATTTAACAGTGATCACTTTTCAGTTAAAATTTAAACACCTAAGAATAATTGTGTGTTAATTACAGAGTTCAACCAATAGTACTAGAACAAAAAAAAATACTAAAATGGATAAAGTATTACATTGTACATCAACAGTCAGGACAAGAGCTGATCAAGTCACTGTGTCTCATAGTGTCCATTTCTCTTCAACAAGTTTCCCCTTAGGTGCTCAGTTATTTGTTGCTGATCAGGGAGAACATGATATTTGTCCCTTTGGGACTGGCCTAATTCACTCAGCATGATGTTTTCCAGATTCCTCCATTTTGTTGCAAATGACCGGATTTCATTGTTTTGACTGCTGTATAGTATTCTATAGAGTACATGTCCCATAATTTCTTTATCCAGTCTACTGTTGATGGGCATTTGGGTTGGTTCCAGGTCTTAGCTATTGTGAGTTGATCTGTAATAAACATTAATGTGCAGACAGCATTTTTGTTTGCCAATTTAATTTCCTTTGGATAAATTCCAATGAGTGGGATGGCTGGGTTGAGTGGTAGGGTTATCTTCAGGTTTCTGAGGAATCTCCAGACTGACTTCCATAGTAGCTTAACCAGTTTGCATTCCCACCAACAGTGGGTTAGTGTCCCTTTTTCCCCACACCCTCTCCAGCATCTATTGTTGGTAGATTTCTGAATGTGAGCCAATCTAACCAGGGTGAGGAGAAACCTCATTGTGGTTTTGATTTGCATTTCCCTAATTGCTAGTGATCCTGAACATTTTTTCATGTGTCTGTTGGCCATTTGGATTTCCTCTTTTGTAAAATGTCTATTGAGGTCCTTGGCCCATCTCTTAAGTGGGTTGTTCGTTTTGATGTTGTGGAGTTTCTTGATTTATTTGTAGATTCTGGTTATCAACCCTTTATCTGTTGCATAGTTTGCAAATATTTTTTCCCATTCTGTCGGTTGCCTCTTCACTTTCCTGACTGTATCTTTTGAAGTACAGAAACTTCTCAATTTGATGCAATCCCAAATGTTAATTTTTGCTTTGACTGCCTGGGCTTCTGGAGTCTTTTCCAAGAAGTCTTTGTCAGTACCTATATCTTGCAGGGTTTCTCCAATGCTCTCTAATAATTTGATGGTGTTGGGTCATAGATTTAAGTCTTTAATCCATGTTGAGTGCATTTTTGTGTAAGGTGAAAGGTAAGGGTCTTGCTTCATGATTCTGCACGTGGAAATCCAATTTTCCCAGCACCATTTATTGAATAGACTGTCCTTACTCCAGGGATTGGTTTTGGATCCTTGATCAAATATAAGTTGGCTGTAGATGTAAATAGCACTCTGGCCTCAGAATCAGCCCTTAAGGCATTCGGATCTGGCTGAAGAGACCATGAGAGTATTTTAGGCATGGAAAGCCAAGACACTCTGGGGAAAAAAAAAAAAGACCTAAATGAAAGATCTCTGTGAGTGAGATCCCAGTAGAAAGAATGGGCCATCAAAGAAGGAGGTACCTTTCTCTGAAGGGAGGAGAGAACTTCCACTTTGACGATGACCCTGTCAGAATAAGATCGAAGTCGGTGAACTCAAAAGGCTTCCATAGCCTTGGCAACTCATGACTAGAGCCTAGGGAGATTACTGACGCCATAATCAAGAGTGTCAAATTGTTAAGTCAACAACAGGAGTCACTGTGTACTTACTTCTCATGTGGGATCTGTCCTTAATGTCTTGTCCAATGTGAAGTAATGCTATAACTAGTACTGAAACAGTATTTTTACACTTTTTGTTTCTGTGTGGGTGCAAACTGATGAAATCTTTACTTAATATATACTGAATCAATCTTCTGTATATAAAGATAATTGAAAATGAATCTTGATGTGAATGGAATGGGAGAGGGAACGGGAGATGGGGGGGTTGTGGGTGGGAGGGAAATTATGGGTGGTGGGGGGAAGCCACTGTAATCCATAAACTGCACTTTGGAAATTTATATTTACTAAAGAAAAAGAAAAAGAAAAAAAAAAACTTAAAAAAATGAGAGAGGAAAAACTTAAAAAAAAAAAAAGACATGAAGTCACTTTGTAAATTCTGAAGCACTCTATAGATAGATGAGAAGATTGGCCCCTCTCCCCCTTCACCTCCCCCTCCTTCTCCCCCTCTCCCCCTCCCTCTGTCCCTTCTCTTCCCTTCCCCCTCCTTCTCCCCTCCCCCTCTCCTTCCCCCTCCCCTCACCCTCCCCTTCTCCCTCTCCCCCTCACCTCCCCCCTCCTTCCCCCTCACCCTTTCCCTCTCCCTCTCCCTTTCTCTCTCACCAACAGACACACACCAAAGACAGTTGTTTCAGTAGACTAGAAAATGCACTGAACTCTATTTTCAGGTCTCTTGTCCAAACTTACCGTGTGACCATGGGAAAGTTATTTAACTTCTCTGTTCTTGATTTTTGTATTTGCAAAAGAGAGAAATATTTGCCTTACAAGGCTCTTGTGATGAGTTAAAGAAACTATGTATTTGAAATCTATTAAGGCACCAGACACATAGCAAAGGATCACAGAATACCAGTTCATTCCAAAGATTCCAGAAAATAAGCAACCTACTCTCATGGCAGGATACAAGTCAAGACATAAAATATGGCAGACTTAAGATATTATTGTGCCTGTTAAATTCTGGCACAGACATCTAAGAGTAAGACCATAAAAGGGCCCAAACATGCCTAAGACCAGAATATGGCCTGATGGACTTGGCCAGTGCTCACTGGGCCATCTCAACACCAGTGAAGTCTGAAGTGGTTTAAATAAGGCCAATCACTGCTTCCTACCTATATGTAGGCAGAAGGTTTGCTGTGTCAGACTAGTCTCTGCATCTCAGGACAGCCCCACTGGAGCAGGCAAGTGACTGGCCAACCGTGAAACAGCTGATTGAATGGGCACGAGTCCCAGAATTCTTAATTAAGAGCTAACAGCACATTTGCCATTTCTCTTGCTCATCAGTTCACCTAGGCACTACTGCTGTGGGAACCAAAGAGCAATTTGAACTAGAACCACAGTGGTCTTGAGTGGACATAGGAATATGCAAACCTGTTAGATACATATTCCCCTGACAAATTTTCTGAAGGCCAGTTGGCACCAAGCATTGTGTTAAGACGCTTTACATGGGTTATCCCCAATTCTCTCAAGAACCCTGCAGAATAAATAGTATTCTTCCCATTTTCTGGTTGGTAAAATTAAGGCTTAGAAAGGTTAATTACTTTGCACACATCACTCAGCTTGCACAGCTCTCTAAACCAGGCTTTTCCCTAACAGGGAGATCAGTCCCAGCCTGAAACTCAAGGACAGAACTGGGTGGGTATGGTTGTCTCTTAGATCTGTGGGGTATTCACTCCAGCACCCCAAGAATGCCAAAACTCCATGAATGCTTAAATCCCTTATATCAAACACTATCTTGTCTGAATGTAACCTAACACAGCCTCCCGTATGCTTTGAGTCATCTCTAGATTATGTATAATGCCTCATCGAATATGCTATGTAAACAATTGTTAGACTGCATCATTGCAGAAATCATGGTAAGGAAAGCAAAAGCCTCTACCTGTTCAGTCCATATGTAGTGCTTTAAAAATATTTTCAGTCAGTCACTGGTTGAATCTGAAGATAGAAAATCCACAGATAAGGGAGGCTGCATGCATTTCTTTTTGAGGATGAAAAATGTTGCCAAAACAACACATACCATGATTATTCCAAACAGAACCTGTGTTGTGCATCAGGAATGGTCGCCTTCCCATTTGTTTCCCAAAATATCCCAGAACATCTCATCTGGAACAGGGCAGGTCTCACTTTGTCCCTCCATCCACAGGCACAGGAGCAGCTCTACGGGCAGATCCACAGACCTGAGAAATAGCATTGACGCACGCTCGCAGTGGGTACTTCGAGACCGGCATGGAAATCAGCATCGCAACAGGCTCTCTTGGATTCTTTCACCTCACCTCATCCCACAAAGAAATTCACGATGGCCCACTGGACCTTGTTCAGAAGAGGGAACTCAGCACTTTGGGCAACCAATGGCAGATATTTGTGGCAGCACAAAAAAATTAATAAAACCCACAAAAATATAAAAAAACACACCCAACATTCAATCACAAGTCAAGCAAATGCTTACCTGACAAAGATTCTGAGCTCTCTTAGCTGGGTTTTTGCTGGCTCAGTCTATGAAATCCTAATTCCTTCCTTATTTCTCTGTTGACCACTGTAGACTGTAGAGACATCAGATTTGAAGTGACGGGCATCAGTGAGTTATACCTGGGTTGGCACTGACTTCTTTCAGTTAAAAACAAGGGGTCCTCTGTGACCACAATATCATCCATATGCCTTCCAACACAGGATTTTTTTTTTTTCATCTCTCCGTAGGTCCGGGTCTGCCATTCCCCCACCCCACCCCAACTGTTCATTCTTTATTACATTTGAAAATTAATGGGTGTACAAATTTTTGTATTGCTTTTGACTTTTTTTAAGATGAGGGTGAAGAAATCTAACTGGGAATTAAAACGCCTCATGTGAAATGAATTAACTTGAAATCACATGACAAATATGTGGTTGATGATGCATTATGATCGGGAATGTGGCCAAAACAGCCCTTTCTCTATTCCACATCCTGATGAAGAACGATGGCTTTCAGTTTGAACCTTCATCCTGGGAATAGGAAAGGACGTCGAATCCCATTTGATGACCAAGACAAAAAATGCATCTGATTCCTAAGAAGCTCTGAACTCTTAAGTACAATAAAATGATATTTTTTATTTTCCTGATACCTTGCTGCCGTGATGCTATGCAGACAAGTGTCTTCTCCATGTGCCATTTTCAAAGAAAAGTCATTTGCCAAATACTTCTGGTACAATTCTGCTAATGTGGTTTTTGGATCTTACAAACCAACCTTCTCACGGAACAATGGTGACATAACTATTCAGAATAACAAACTGACTCTGTGTCAAAATGGTTCATCTCTATCTCTTTTTGTACATCAGAAAATTCAAATGGGATTTTTATTTTATAACTTGAAAAAAAAAAACCTTACCATTAAACTCTTGAAATATTTAAGGGAAATGGCTTTAAGGAGTTCTAATGAAAAAAATGTCAGTTTTTTTTGTAAATATAAATGTTAATGAAAATGCTTTTTAATAATGCCATTACACTGTAGAGAAGGTAGCAGATTGAGTGCAAGGTGTGACAAACTTGATGGATGGGGCTCACATTCTGGATGTTGTTCTAGTGTATATGGTAGGAAGCTGGAGTTCAGGGACAGTTGGCAGGCGCTGTTGGCCAATCAGTAGCTAAGTGAGCAGGCAAGGAGCACGTGACTCCATAATCTAGCCTTTCCACGAGAGTACCACTCTGTGTGTGAAACAAGAAAAAGACAATTCACACTTTTGAAGGCCTGACCTTCAGAATCTCAAACTCTCTCACTTCTTCACTCCCACCTACCCCCATATAAATCACTGGACTGTTTGGACATGAAACAGAAGAGTTTAAGCCTCCTTTTTTTACATTTATGAGACAAAAAAGTGCAGTGTTTGGTTTGTGTGTTTAGCACATGATTTTCATAAAGAATCTATATATTTTTGCCCTACAGATAATTGTTATACAGGTCAAATGTGTTTTCCTGATGTTCCTATGCAGTTGCAGTATGTTGAATTTAGTGGTTTAACACTAAGAAGAAAATTTTAAAGAATTGTGATTAATTGGATCTGGGGAAGGGGAGTAATTATTGCTTGATTTTAAAATTTGAGAAGTAGCATTTACATTGATATGATTTATTTAAATGGGCCTGTATGTTTTGTTTCTCATATTAGTAGAAACTAGAATGATTCGGAAGACTGACTTTAAAATGATGGTACACTTGAACACAAAGAGAAAAGTGATCCATCAAGGTGATTGTTAGCATTTTGTGCCCACGTTTCTACAACCGGGTCACTAGAATCCAGTTTTTTTCCAGTTAGATCAACTGACCAAATGGCCATTAGAGAATATGTGTTCTCCTGATGTGAAAGGTCCCAAGAACCAGAAAAGCCGGAAGGGCTATTTACTGCCCTCTGTGGCTACCACCAGTAATGACTGCAGGAATGTGTGTGCATTCTGTGATTGGGTCACCCTTTTACAGGGAGGGGGAAATGGGAAAGGCATGATAACAAAGAGAGTCTTCCTGAAACCAGTTCAGTTGTGTTTGCTGGGGATTTGATAAGATAGGCAGTTCCCTTGAGGAGATGGCTGAGATTGCTGTGTTGTCCATGATTCTGATTCTATACAGTGGTGCTATCTTCTCCCTCACTCTGGCTGTCTGAGTTTGTCTTGCAGTATCACACCATCATACCTACTCTTTGGGTTGCTCCTGACACATTCCGAGTGAACTGTGGCTGATGTTGCTGTTTCAGGTACTGTTCGGAGGGAACGTCATAGCAGAAGGTGACAGTTCAGTGGACTTGGCATCATTCACTGGGCACGATTGAAAACCCAACTGGCTCTGAACTCAAAGACAATGCCCACGTGATCCACTAAAGTGAGAGAAATGAAGTCAAGGTTTTAAGCTGCCATTTGTATTCTCTTAGGCAGAATTCTGATTTTTTTTCCCAAACGTTGTTTGGTGAGCCCAACACCACCATATCCAATCCCAGGAATCCGGTGGAACTTCCAAACTAGAGCTGAGGTGTGCATACCAAAAGAGCATGGGGAGTCTGCACAGTTCTGGGTAGATCAGTAGAAAAATCCATGTGTACAACTGTTAATTCCTCATCCTTCACTGGCACTAAATTTGTCACTTTAAATTTTGAAACCAGGGAAACGCCACCTGTCATTCTGTCCCATCCCCCATAGCTCTTCGCTCTCTACATGCCGCAAGACTTTTTTGATAGCTCGTCCTCATCCCAGTGTCCATTGAAACCCATCATGTAATGTACTGGGCACCTTCTTTTAAAGAAAAATGTTTACTCTGTGGGTTTGGTTCATTTCAATTTCCGCGTTCTGACACATATTTTTTTAATAAAGATGAGAAAGAGAAAATGACTTGCAGTACATTTCTAGACCTACTTTAACTTTACCTCAGATGACAGTTTGTTAACATATATGGACACATTATTTTTAACTTTATGTACAACACATTCAACAGAACAGCAAAATTTTTAGAAATTTTCCATTAATTTCTGTAACACACCATGTAAAACTATTACAAATAAACATGTTTGAGAACAACAGCTTAGCCTGGCTTTATTCTCCAAGTTTCTGCCAGATGTCAGGCTACGGGGTGGAAGAGGACATGGCTTCCGTGTAGGCGTCCGTCTGACCTGTTGGGGGCCTCTGCTGCTCTGGGTCTGCACTAGAGAGAGCAAGCTTCCCTGGGGAGCTTAGATGCATTCATCCTCAGACATTGAGTTGAATTCAGAGGCCGGCTCTGCTTGGAAAAGCAGCCACAATGAGGAAGAAGAACATTGTCAGGAAAAGCAAGCCATGTGTATTTGTGTGTTTTTACCACAGTCGGCATGAAACTCAAAATTGGGGAAGAACCCCTAGGGATTGGTGTCCTCTGAAGACCCACTCCTGAACTGCTGATTGGGAAAGTTTCATCTAGACTCTTGCGAGTTCCTCGTGGTTCATTTGAAGGCCGTCTGCTGTAAGGGACTCAAAGGTGGACCCGATTATTCTCTCTCCCTTTCCCCACCCCCCCACATCAAAAAAGTTAAAGGTGGATTTTAACTTCTGTCTGTATTGAATAACAAAAATGTCTATGTGTGTATGTGTGTTTATATGTATTATAAATCTGTGTGATCTTTATTTCCTTTTGTGGCTAAATCAGTTTGTCCATCCAATAATCAATCAAATTACATTCAGATCATTGAGATGGCAGATGCTACTTTTTCCTAGAAATAGTTATGTTAATAATTTCATAAACACAAGCCATCAAACTGGCCTCCTGATACAGAAGATATTAAACATGTTGTCACCAACTTTGAGAAAATGAGTGAACTAGTTAGAGTCCAGCAAAATGAATGTGGATCAGAAATAACAATTTCCATACAGTTTGGAAATATTAAAACCCTGGATTGAGTTCTAACAAACACTCCAGAAGCTTTTCTTGATATCGAGCAGTAACTGTAGCTCACACCTGTTGAACAACAAGTTTGCAGCTAATAAGTGCTGCATGCTTTGTGTCCATTGCCTCGGGTAATTTCCCAAGTAAGTTACAGGGAGAAGATACTGTTCCCAATATATGGATGAAGAAACTGAGATTCAGAGAAATTGAATAACTTCCCCAGCTATCAAATGGCAGAGGTGAGATCTGAATCTTGAGTCTCTGTACTCAATAGATTGTAAGTTTTTAAATTGGTATAGCGGCTGGCATTGTGGGGTAGCAGACCGGGCCACTGCCTATGTCGCCAGCACCCCACATGAGTGCAGGTTCAAATGCCAGCTGCTCTCCTTTCCATCCTGCTCCCTGCTAATGCACCTGGGAAAGCAGAGGAAGAAGGCCCAAGTACTTTGGCCCCTGCTACCCATGTTGGAGACCTGGAAGAAGATTCATTCTCTCTCTCTCTCTCTCTCTCTAACTCTGCCTTTCAAATAACTTTTTAAAGTACATGCATATGCATTGTTCTAAGCAGATTTGCATCGATTTGTTCAGCTCACACACATGTCAACGTTGACCTTCTATGCCTCCTCTCAGACCACTGGTCAATTGCTGGCAGTAAGTTAGATTCCTAAGCTCCTCCAATTTATAGCAAAAATAAAAATCCATTAGGTGCTATTCTCTCATGCTGCTGAGTGCAGTATTACTTCTTTAATTGGCACTGTTGAAAGGGTATTGGCTGTAGAATGAAGAAAATTCCTTTTTTGCCCAACTAGCTGAAGTTTAGCTGAAACCAAGCACTGGGGGTTTACTTTATCAACCTAAATGAATCTTAAAGGAGTGACAAATTAAAAGGTGTCTCATTTAACTGCTAGGTGATGCCAAAATAGATCAGGCAGACATAGCTACTTTCATTTTGTGCTTGAGAGCAAACCCTTGTTGTTTTGACAGTAAATGTTTTTTGTTTTACCCAGAATGACAGTAGGAAAAACGCCTAGAATAAAAACAGGTTTTACGGAGTCAACCTTCAAAGCTTTGAAAGCTGTAAAAGTTGTTTAAATTCAAGGGAAATGTGAGCAGTGGTGCCTGAAAGATTAAAAAAGGAGAGCGAGTAAACAGATGTAAATGGCTTTGAAGCCGTTTAGTGACCAGTGCTCAGGATTTCCGTTAGAATGTGAATATCACCACGATGGCAGTGCCCTCACTGCTCCATGCCGCTTATTTTCTAGCTGTCATTTCCAGATCCCTAGGCAAACCCCCAGAGGAGGGACATGGGCTCCCCATTTTCCAGCTTAAGAAACTGAAACTCAGAACTGTCCTGAAACGGCTGTGAGTGAGCAAAGACTGCACCCAAAGGCTGTGCTGGTGCCCAGGATCTGAGTCCCAATCCGCTTCCCTCTTCCCTGGTACTTTTCTCACAGCGTTCCCGCAATGTCACATTGTTCGTGTACCCTCCAGAAAGTACTTTGAGCACTTCTGGATTCAATTCCAAGTAGTGTCTATTACATTAGAAAAATCACACCATGCGTTACCCTGACGGATTCAGGACAGAAATGGATTCTTCAGGAAAATGACTGTCGTTATTTCAAAACAAAGGAGAAATCCAGTTTTACTCTCAAGAACAGTACTAGCTATAACCCAAGCCAATGAATATTTAATTTCAAAACAGAACCCTCGCCTTCACTTTATCTTCCGAGGTACCGAGATCTAAGGGGGAGCTTTTTTTGAACAGGCGTGCCGTTCATTCTTTGCCGAAGACTGTGAATGACTGCCAAGTAGAAAGTGTCTACATATTCTTTCAGAATGGCACCTCTGGTGACTTGGGTCTTTAATCTTCTGAACAACCTCTTGCCACTTCTGTCACTCACTGGAGGGATGTGGGCTGGAGTGGGGAACAAGCAGGCAGGGTTGGCGATGGAATATGCAGGCCTCGGGCTGGCGTACCATCAACCGTAAAATGCCGAACTGTCTTCCAGTCACTCTGCCATCCCTCAGCTAACTTTGGGGTGCAGTGGGAGGAACCCTCAAGTCTTCCTCATGAAACATGTTAATGCAAAGCCGCCAATAAGATTAATTTGATAATTCCATACCTGGAGCATTGTAAGTTCTCAGTGCACATCATCTATTGCTAATAACAAAGGGATAGCTATCATGTATTTTAATATTTAATCCTTTCACTTTCCCCTTCATCCTGTCATGTTTATTAACCCAGCATAGTCATCCTTATCAAATTATCATGCAAAATGAGGGAGAACATTTAACCTAGTGTTTAAGACACTGGTTAGGATGTCTGTTTCTCACATTAGAGTACCTGGGTATGACACTTGCCTCCAGTTCCTGATCCCAGCTTCCTGCTAAGGCAGACCCCGAAAGGCATCAGTGATGACTCAAGTTGTTGGACTCCCCGCCACCCACATGGGAGGCCTGAATTGGATTTCTGGTTCCTGGGTTTAGCCCAGGTCCAGACCCAGCGGTGACAGTCATTTGGGGAGTAAAGTAGTAGATGGGAGCTCTTTGCGTTCTCTGTTTGTCTCCATCTCTTTCTCTCTCTGTCTCCTTCTCCCTTTCAAATAATTTTTTAAAGTATATAGAATTGCAGTGAGTGATTATTGTCAAAGAAAGGCAAAGACATCTGCACAGACATCTTTGAATTTTTCCCCCTACTGGCGCAGTTTAAAGTAAAAATGTGCTGTGGATTTATTCTATAATGAAGAGTTATTGAAGATATGTTATGTGTCGGGTCCTGTGATAAGCACTGGAAATCAGACATTTTTTAAAAAGTATCAGATTCAGGACCACCCCTGCTTTAAGAAACACAAATTCTAATGGTTAAACTACAAAAGTACTTCAAAAAGTTGGTGAAAAATTAAAATTGAAAGATGAATTTATTTTGGCACAAAAATATTTTGAAATCCATGTATATGAGGAGTCTTTCAAAGCTGGTAGGAAAATAGCTGCATAGATTTTCTTTACACCAAACAAATTTATCTTTTAATTCCGTTTTCTCACCTGCATTTGAAATACCATTGTAGGTTAATAGACAAGTAAAAGGTAGCTGGATTAGTGCTGGGAAAAAGGCACTTGCTGACACTTTTGGGAGCAGTGAGAGAAAACGGTACAGAAGGATCGCTGGTTGAGCTTGGCCTTACACAATGAGAAAGGACTCATCATGAGACCGTGGAAGGGGAGGGAGTGGAAGGGGAGGCCAGTGGGCATGGTATGCCTGGAGTGTCTGAAAATGAGAGCTGACAGTGAGGCACTGTTTCATGTGTTATGTAACAGAGAACCAATGTCTCAACTCATATTCCAAAGCTAGAATGACAGAAGTTCATCAAAAAAAGTAGTGCAAATCATTGCCTGATCTTTCTAATGCACCAGCAGAAATTCCTAAACTAAATATTAAAAAATCAAACACAGCTGTAAACCATGACTAAATAAAGTGAATTCTTGTATTGCAATGGCTGAATTAAAAAATCCATCTTAGTGGAGGCTGAAAAAGCATCTGCTAAAATTCATTATCCTCTTCCAGGAAAAAAAAAAGGAAATGAGAATTTTATTAATAACCCCTTCCCATGATAAAGAATATCTACCTCAAAACCTTAGCCAAGATGAAACATAACTGGAGGGCATCCCCATTATATCAGACCAAGATCAAGGCCCTCAGCTGTTATGTCTGTCGTTTAACATTGTTCTGAAAATTGAGGCAATGCAAGGCACTGTACCAGAAAAAGAACCAGATGTTCAAATGTGCAGTGAAGACAATGCTACTATCGCAAGTCATGTTTTCTAATAGGAAGTACCTATAAGAAGCTGGAAGTTCTCATAGGAAAATTAAGAAAGGCTGTTCATCTAAAATTAAATATGTGAAATTGATACTTTCTATTTTGCTATAAATAACATTTGAGAAAATGATTAGAAAATAGATTCCACTAATGATAGCACCAGCAATAAAATACCCAAGAAGAAAGTCAATCCTGAAGATATAAGGGGTAGATGAAAAACAACAAAAGGAAAAAAAAATCACATCAAAGAGCATAAAGTGACTAAACAAGTTGAAAAAGGAGTTTCCTTTAAAAAATGATTTATTTTATTTATTTGAAAGGCAGAATGACAAAGAGAGGCAGAGAAAGA